TTTTTTTTTTTTTGCTTTTACGCACGACAAGTTAACACAATCATCTTCGTCCGACGCTGCGTAAACAACAAACACATTTGGCCCCGGCTCGGTCCCCGGCCCGCATCAAGGATCGTCCATTAAACACTATTCAGCCCGTTTTACTCCGAGTCTTCGTGACGTGATCCTCGTTTCCTTCCTCTCTGTGGTCTCCTCCTCCTCCTCCTCCTCCTCCCTCCGCCGACACTTCATCAGGACAGCCGCCTCCGACCCAGAGAGCGGCTACTGAGGGGAATCTGCAAAGTGCATCATGTGGAGGAGAAGAAGAAGAAGAAGATCAGAAATGAAGAAGCTGCGCTGTAAAGAAATGGAGGCTCTGCTTTGTGGGCTTTTCTTGTTGCGCGGCGAGAGGCGGCCCTGCCGGCCAGGATCCACACGGTTCCTGTTTCTTTCTCTTGAACACCGTCGTTCAGAAACACGCGGTCAGAGTTTGCGGGCTCCTAAAATCCAGGCGTGTTTGAACCACACCCATCTTTACTAGTGACCCCTCTGTGCAGATCTAAACATCCCCTCATGTGGACAGAGTCTGTTCAGAGACTCTGTGGATGGAGTTAACAGATCACTTTGGTTGATGAGGCCCAAACTTCCAGGGAAAGTCATAAGTCCCCTCCTGATCATTAGATAGAGTTTTTATTTTAGTTCTGTTTTGGATGATAGTGACCTGGATCATCTTTGAAATGACACTGAAAACAAATACTGCTGTAAGGAAACCAAAAGAAGCGGTTTTGAGCTATTTCCATGCAACATATTTGCCAATATGAACTCCCAGCAAACAGTAACATTCAGGGAATCTTTAGGGAACATTCCTTCAAGATTAGTTTGCTTGTTCAAACAGTAATCTTCAGGGAACCTAAAGGTCACTGTCAACTGGATTATTAGCCTCTATGTTAGGGAACATTTTGGTAACATTTAAGGAATGTTCTCTAAAGTTTTGCAAACAATCAGCTTCAGGGAATCTTTAGGGAACATTCCTTCAAGATTAGCTTACTGGTTTAAACAGTAATATTCAGGGAACCTTTAGGGAATATTCCCTGAAGGTTCTCTAAAGGTTACTGTCAACTGGATTACTAGCCTCTATGTTAGAGAACATTTTGGCAACATTCAGGGAATGTTCTCTGAAGGTATGGCAAACTGCAACTTTCAGAGAACATTCACTAAAAGTTTGGCAAACAGTAACTTTTAGGAAACCACCAGAGAATGTTACCTGGAGGTTACTGTCTACTGGATTATAAACATTTATATACATCTTTTATAAATCCAAAATAATTTCTGTATGTGTTAATTAATGTTTATGTTGTAGGTAAAGTCAGATTTTGAAAATAAACATAATCTTATCCATAAGTATAAGTAACAACAGGTTTGTATTCATCAAAATAACTTAACTTGTGAGATAACTTTCCTCTGAGGGGTTCTTTCCCTGTTTGCCTTCTATATTTTGAATGATATATGTGTGTGTGTGTGTGTGTGTGTGTGTGTGTGTGTGTGTGTGTATGTATATATATATATGTAGGGAAAATAATAGAAAATAGTTCTCGAATTTCCACAACTCCACTATTTGTCATCTAAGAAGTCATCTCAGACAGGGTGATACAGCAGACCATCTGCCACATGACGCTCTGGATGGACGTATCCAACAACATGATCCTGTCTTACAAAATGTCCACTGATGTTATCAAACCCTTCAGGAAGAGTGGGGGGCAATGTTAAAGCAGCATGGACAACCTGATTAACTGTGTGCATCACAGATGTGTCACTCATTACTGACTTGTGATTTCTGCTCTATGACTTCACTCTCCATCTGTCCATCATCAGTTCCTCTATAGTGGTTGTTTCATGACGTCCATTCTGTTGTGAAGATGCCATGTGTTGGAACAACAAATACTTATTATAAATATTCCTATGTAAAAAAGAATGGACTGAATTTAGTCAAATGCTGCATTTCTGTCTTTGTTCGTTACAGTTTAAAGTCCTCCTCTGCTATGGTTTTTTTCTGTTGTAACTTCTGTTGCATATGGTCTGTGGTTGGATGTTTGACCTTTGCTGTGCAGGGTGATGTATGTGCAGAGTTTTACATTTAGTGCTTTCACATTTGTCTTCTGAAGAAGGGAACATCTCTCTACAGTGTGGTTACCTGACATCTGAGTTCATATAGGCACAAACATGGTTTTGTGGCATCACGAAGCCTTATAGTAAAGTTAACAGAAATCATTTTTGAATATTTAAGCTCATAAACAAATGTTGAAATTGTCATATTAAAAAAAAACAATGCACAAAATTCCACAGATGTAAAGTATACTTACACTGCATTAATCCACATTTTTGATCAGTGATCAGTGTAATGGTTTACCAGCCCAGCAGGGATTATGGAACAAAAATAATCCAAAAAAAACAGAGACATATTATACAGTAGATCCTGTGTGCATGTGTAGTTGGAGAACAGAGCCTCGTAAACCATTTTTGATTAGATTGTGAGGAGCTGTTGGTGCAGCACTACCGTCTCCCGGAGCAGATGCTGCATGACATTTTACAGTCAGTAGATGCATTGTGGTCAGATGCACAACATCATGCAATCCAATGAGGCTCTGTTCAGGCCCAAACTGAATACTTGACGTACACATCCACACACATGCACATACATATGTACTGCTATATGCAAATACACTGCCATGCACATATGAGTATGCAAGTATGTGCAAGTGAAGTCTTTAATTTTGGCCTAAACAGCTTCTCATGCAATCCCCATAGTAATCCTCTTGTTTCCTTTTTTAGTATTGGTTTGCGTTCCTGGAGCAGAATGATGTACAGTTAAGCCCAACATTATTAATACCCCTGCCAGATTTTTGATTTGTGGTATAGAGGCTTGCATTAACTCAAAAAAATGTGCAATACTTTAAAAAGGCATGAACACATGACATTTGGAGTAAAATGTTAAGGGGAAAAAAAGGAAAAATGGGCAGATTTAACATTTTATTTTTGTTTGTTTTTGTCAGAAATTCACCATCAATCAAAATGTGGCATTGTAATGAATCATTTGGGGATTAGCTGTATGTTTATATGGCATACACTGGATTTTTTAAAGCTATTTTAATTGTCCTTCTTCCTTTTCCATTATTTTAATGAAAACCTTACTTGACTTGTAGCCCTGCCACATAGTGATCCACTCAGTCTGCATAGACGTCATCTCTGCCACATAGTGACCCCTGGTGGGGAGGAGTGTTACTGCACTTCATGGATATAGTTCAACTTTACATCCGCCCCTAACCATATGTGCATACATTCAGGAGTTTATCTCAGTGTGTAGAATGTGTTATCATCATACTGGTGCCCACATGTTTGTGTAGATCTCTATTGAGGTCACGTTTGGTCGCTCTGCACATTGGGGGCGGGCTTGTGTTTTTTTTTTTTTTTTTTGACAGGCACTACCTTTGCTCATCTTTGTAATGTTTTCGCCCTCCCCTTCTCGCAGTCACATGGCCTGCCTCTGCTCTCCCGTGACACTTTTGAACAAATAACAGGGTGAACGAGGCGTGCCATGGCTCTGGTGTTGTCATTGGTAGCGGCACATCTCTCACAGCATCCGACTGTCCGACTGGCAGCTCGGCCCCGTCGTCCAGCGGCCCGCCGCGCTCACGTCTGACCGTCCGCCGCTCATCCGGCCCGGGACGCCTCCTGGGGAGACACGCACCCACACAGCCGGACCCGCAGAAACACGAGTTTTAAAGCAGGAAGTGAAAGGAGGTGGGAAAGGAGGCTCGGCGAGGTAAGACTGGGTGCGTCTCGGTGGAAACATCCTGCAGAAGCACTTTGCATCTTTGTTTTATTACAACTTCCTGTCACCATGTAAACAGACATTTACGCAATAATACAGCCGCACGTGTGTTCAGTTTTTTTTTTTGCTCACATCGACCCCAAAAAGACGCAAAGTTTGGTGCAGCGGTTACTCCACCCTCCTGCAACGTAAACGTGACGGAAACGGTGATTTATTTTGGTAACAGGCGGGTTTCCAAAGTAGGGTTCGGGGACCCTTAAGGGGCCTGATTGCGTGCGTCACTATCAGCATCCTGCAGATGATGACCGGTGCTGCCACTTTAGGCATCAGCAGCACAGGAACTAGAGGTTTGACAGGACATTTATTCTCATTGAACTTCCCTGTTTGCAAGTCTTCTCATCACTATGGGGTGGAGAGTTTGTCCCACATGTTATTTCTCAAGACTTAATCATTGTGCAACTCTGTAAAACAGCCCACAGCTCTCATGCTTTTAAAAGTGTGAACCGGCTGCAGATAGAAATGCTTTTATCTCACTAAACATCTTGTGTAAGGCTGTTAAATAGCTAATCTGTTGATTAGTTTACTGGATTCTTAATCAAAAGGTTAATTAAAATGCCCATTGTTAATTTTCTCAAACTCAAATTGCTTGTAATAAATCGATTGATAGTAAACAAATAAATTTTAAAGCAAAACAGTAACATTTTCTTCTTCTTCCAGCTTTTTGAACAGGAAATATTTCTGGTTTCTTTCCTCCTCTATGACAGTAAACCAAACATCTTTAGGACAAAACAAGACATTTGAGGACATTATCTTGTCCTTTGAGAGACTTTAACATGTTTCAACATTTTCTTATATTTTATAGAACGAACAACAAATTTATTATCCGAGAAAATAGTTGATGCTAGTTCCAGCCCTGCTCTCCTATGAGACAAAGAAAAGCAGCAAATCCTCGCATCCGGCCTGCTGGATCCTTCACCTTTTTACTCCACACAGATGTCAGTTAACTAAATGATTAATCGACAAACTGTTTCAGTGCTGTCTGTTTGAACAGAGTCATAATCTTAAGTGGAACAGTTACTGGGTGTGATCCCCAAAGTGAATCCGTGTCTCCTACATGTTCGTTCATGCTTTGTTGTGGAGACCTTTTGTCCCACTTTCCCATCATGTGACTCCCTCACAGCCGCTGACCTACAGGAGAGAGATTCAGCGATTAAAAACCGTCTCCTTGAGGAAGAATTGCGAAGGTGAACGCCGAGAGTAAGAGAACAGCCGAGGCCACCTGAGAGCAGGGAGGCACGCTGCTCGGCTGAGATGTCGCTCTTTTGGTTCACATGTAAAAACAGACAAGCAGCTGTGAATCAGCTGACTGCAAATACCAACCTCAAGTGTGAGCAGGAGCCTTCATGAAGGAGGGGAAGTTAAAAACTTGACTTACAGGTTCAGTGTTTGATCTACTGCTGTCTTTTGTAGTAAAAGAAACAAAAAAAGTATTTTAAAAGAAGTGGGGCAGTAAAAAAAAAAAGTGCCTGATAGGGAAAAATCTTTCATCTCCACGTTGCCCTTTGATTTGAATGTTCTCAGCTTCTAAAGAGCCACTGTTTTTCTGAGTCTTGAAGGCGGCAGGACATGTGCTGCTGCGCACATGACAATCTTCATTCTTAGGAAGTGCTGGGGAGGATGATAACGAAGGGATGAGGGAACAGACTGTCTCTGTGTATCATTAAAAGAGCAGGGAAGGTTTCACACAAACAGATTGCACGTAAGGCATGCCACACATTTCACCTTGCAGGCTTTCTTTTAAATCACAATGTCTGTTGGGGAAAAGGAGAATTTAGTTTGAGACATTGAATTAAAGATAGAAGATGCCCAAATTCAAACCTTGCTTCTCTGCAGCAGATTAAATATTGTAGTATCTCCGTTAAACCTGCTCTTATTCATTTCGTTTCACAGGCTAACCTTCTCACCAGCCATGTCCAACGAGCGGACCCCTCTGATCACGTCGGGGGTGTGTGGTCTGGCTGTGACCGCGGTAGCATGCGGTGCACCGTCAGACCCCACCCCCGAGTCCAACTCCGAGACACCGAGCCCAGGCCCCCGAAAACTCAACACCTTTTTTGGGGTGATGGTGCCGACCGTCCTGTCCATGTTCAGCATTGTTTTGTTCCTGAGAACAGGTGAGCGATGCAAATGGATCAGAGGAATAGGAGCCGCCCTGGGCTGTGAGCCTCATGTGGAGTACAACTGAGTCATTGTGCTGCAGTGACTAACAGTAGTGTGATCTCCTTCTGCAGGGTTTGTGGTCGGTCACGCTGGGCTGCTGCAGGGTCTCTTAATGGTGGTTGTAGCTTACACCATCATATCGCTTACAATACTGTCCATCTGCGCCATTTCCACCAACGGTGCGATCCAGGGCGGTGGAGCCTACTGTATCCTTCCACGTCAAACTGATTTGTAACGTTTCTTCTTCAAGTGTTTGCTTGATCTTTTCCCACAGTTTCAGTTGAACCATCAGCCTTAATGAAAACTGCCCAGACATGATCAGCAGGTCTTTGGGGCCTGAGTTTGGAGGAAGCATCGGTTTGATGTTCTTCCTGGCCAAAGTGTTTGCATGTGGAGAGTATGTTCTGGGTCTCGTGGAGGCCATACTTGATGTATTTGGTGCAGATCCTGGTAGGTTTTTGCTCATGTTTTGCTTCTATCACCTGTTTTTACAGCTAAATAATCCACTTGATTTATAACACATGCCCTTCGTCCTCTGTTTCAGAGTCCTCTGTGTCCGAGGGGGTGCGGGTGCTTCCTCAGGGTTACTGGTACACAGTGCTCTACTCCTCAGTCGTCCTCCTGCTGTGTCTGCTCGTGTGTCTGGTCGGCGCCCACATCTACTCCCGCACCGCCTTCGTCATCCTGCTGGTGGTCACCGTGTCGCTGCTGTCCGTCTTCATCAGCTCTGTGGCAGTCAAACCTCTCGACTTTGTCATCACCCGCAAGGGATCTGGCAACGTGACCCTCCGCTACAACGCCAGCTACACTGGTTTCAACGCCACCACGCTGAGGAACAACCTGTACTGTGAGTACCGATGGGGCACGAGGGGGATGTCGACCAGGATATGAAAGTGTATGCGTGAGTAAAGCGTGACATGTATATATTAGGAGCATCTATTAAAGGTCTCGCTGTTGTTCCTCTTTTCTCTCTCCAGCTGCCTACTCTTTGGACTACAGCACCAACTCCGTCATGTCTTTCGCCACCGTGTTTGCCGTCATGTTCACCAGCTGCACTGGGATCATGGCCGGAGCCAACATGTCAGGTTAAAGCTTGTTGTCATAATATTACACAAATAAAGACACTGCAGCGAAGGGTATTTTTTTTGCCAGTGGTAGTCTATTTAAGCATTTTTACTTCGAAGGTCTTGCCCTTTTTCATTCATTCATTCATTCATTTATTCAATCTTTATGTACATCCTGAGATATTATTGAGATCATACCCTCATTTTAAACGATGTAGAACACAGTTAAAAACAATGAAAATGCAGTTAAATAAAGTTCCTTATAGGAGCCATTGACAACAGTTTGAAACAGTTGCATCTCATAACTGGGTAGTTTATAATCAGGGCTTTAAATCCAAAGTGTGTTAAGTTTTATATGTGTTGTAAAGTATTCTGTCTGGAAAAACAAACACTAAAAGTAGTTTTTCCCACTTTGCTGTTTGCACACAAGACTTAGAGCAGCAGTCAAATGATGATTGTGAGGCCAATTTAATGAGGAAATAATATATGATAAGAAGCTGCATTTACAGCTTTATAAATAAACAGAAACCACATCTTCCTCTTAGAGATGCCCCTCTAACCCTTTCATAAAAAAATACAGCGATGACTAGAATAACTGTCACCAGCCATAAATCTTTACTGGAACGTTTCTAAAGCCCTTTCCAGACGTGGGAGTAACATTACTGGCTTCATCAATCTGTTGAAGTGACGGTTCTGTCAGACATAGGCCACTTTGACATGAATGTTTCTGTCTGCTTCATTCAGACAAACCCAGTGATGGAGACAGACATGGTCCACATGTGCTGCAAAATGTTTCATACATTCAGAGGATAGACTGCTACAGACAGCAAACTAAACTACATTTACTCCACTACATTATCTGAGAGCTTTAGTTCGTACGTATTGCAGGGTTAGATTTCATATACAAAACATTCACAGCAGAGCATGTACTTCTAATTTAGTACATTATGTACATTTTGCTGATGATGCTTGCATCTCTTTATTTTGGTAAGATTTCAAAAGCAAGACTTTGACTTGCAATGGGTATTTTTTTCCTTTATAGCATTTGTACTTTTTAATAGTGTGTCTACCAGAGGAGTCAGAAGACAAAAGATGCTGTCATATCACATATCTTAATAGCGCATACAGACATGTACGTACTGTACATCTAAGCACCCTGATGTTTGTTTTATCATGTCCACACGTCTGAAGGAGACCTGAAGACCCCGAGTGTTTCCATCCCTAAAGGCACCATCGTAGCCGTCTTGTACACCTTCATAGTCTACGTCCTCCTCTTCCTTTTGGCCAGCGCCACCTGTGACAGGTCTGATTTTATTTGTATTTCTGATAATGATATTTAAAGAAAGATCAATATCCAAATAAGCAGCTTGAGTTAAAACAGCCATTTGTTTCTTTTTCTGCAGGACACTGTTGATTCAGGATTACGGATTCTTACAGCGAATCAACATTTGGCCTCCGTTCGTCACTGTCGGGATATACTGCGCCTCCCTGTCGGCTGCCATGTGCGCCATGATCGGAGCTTCCCGCATCCTCCATGCTCTTGCTCTGGACCAACTCTTTGGTAGGGTTTGAGATTTTTACTGTGCATTATTTGTGTATTGAGGATAAGCAACTGAGACTTTCGTTTTTCTCACAGGTTTGCCGTTAGCCCCCGCTGCCGTCACATCGAGCTCAGGGAACCCGTGGGTGGCAGTGCTGTACACCTGGGGCCTGGCACAGGTGTGTTCCTGTGGTGTGCGGTTGTGTATTTTTAGAATTAGAACTGGTTTCCTAATCTGGGGTTTGTGGCGTGTTTGTGTTTCAGTGTGTGGTGTTTGCAGGGCAGCTCAATGCTGTAGCAGGTCTGGTGACTGTGTTCTACTTGCTTGCCTACGCTGCCGTTGACTTGGCCTGTTTGGCTCTTGAGTGGGCGTCAGCACCAAATTTCAGGTAATAAATGAGCAAACACTACTGAATGCATAGTTTGGTTTATTTGAAGCAGGCTTGTATGATGTTCTTAACAGTCAGCGTGTTAACTATTAGAGCCATCAGACTGCTGATAGTAATTTTACCTCAAAGCACACTGGTCTTCTTCTGCTTTGATTGGTCAGTTTGTGTTATCGGATGACTTTTTAACACAGTAGTTTGGATGTGAACTAACATTTTACAGCACCAGAGTCACACAGCTGTACACCAGCAACTTCTGTTTTCTGTGATATAAAATTTGTGTTTTCGTCAATGGAGTCTGGTGGCTTTGAAGCGGGTGATGTAACTGAATCCCATCCCTGTCAGAAAAGGTTGTCTGACAGCAAGGTAAAGCTGTGAAAATACTCTAAATATAGCATACGCCTAAATTCTTAATTTTTATTTTTAGCTGTGCCTTTTTTTTAGGTGGGTAAATGCATTTTGCTGCTCATCCTGTCAACAGCAGTTCAGTTTGTCACTTAGCTTCTGTACAGCTGTCTGCTTCTCCAAACCTGGGCCACACAGGCCACCATCGACCGGACTTAATACACCGACTGTCGATAAATACCTCATACAGCCCCACTTCAAACAAACTGAGTTATCCTCTAAAAGGAAAAGTAAGAAATATGTGTGGTTTTTACTGACCTGTTATTGATGAACAGTGTTCAAGCAAAAGTGCAAAATGTTTGATAGTTTCTGCTGCTCAAATCTGAAAATATGTTGTTTTACTACATTTTGCGAAATTCTAAGTCGCTTATTTGATTATTTGACTGTTGCTTTGACAAAACAAGATATTTGAAGTTTTTTCTTCAGATTTCTGACATTGTATAGACCAGATTGTGTTCAGAGAATGATCAGCAGCTTAATCAGAAATGAAAAATGTTTTTAGCTGCGGGCCTGTAAATGTCACAGTTGAAATACTGCCTGACAATGGGATGTTCTAGGTCTCCAAGACAATAAGAATTAAAAACACTATTGTGATCTTGGTGTTTTGAAACAGGATGCAACAAACAAGCTGTGGATCCGACTGACTGCACTGCGTCCACTCAAGCGGTAGTAGCTTGTCGATTACAGTGTAGACGCACCCAGCTTTAGGGAAATGTGACCCTTGACCTCTGTAGCGGTCACCAATGCATGTATTGACCCCAAAATAAAATCATTCCAAGAAGCGACCATACTGAGGTCATATATGAAGTTTCAGGTTCAAACTCCTCTCCTGTAAAGTGCTAGACTGTTAACAGACAAAAAAACACGCACACAAAAAAACAAACACATGTTAACTGAGGTAACAAATCAAGTGAGTGGGAGGGTCATTTTTAACAGACCTTCTTTTACTACTGGAGAAGTCGCCCCCTGCTGGTTATTTAAAGCAATTCCGATCTTGAGGCTACTTCCATCTTTTATCTATGGATGTAGCTGGAGCCTGTCTTTTTATGATGAGTACAAACGTGGTGCACATCACAGTACACAACATCCTCTAGAGATGCTTGGGTATATTACTATCACATATATGAGGCAGTGAAAATAGCATTTATAGCCTCTCTGCGCTTCTGTTTTTCATGTGTCCGGCGGCCTCATTTCTTCGTCTCTGTGTGTTTGACAGACCGACCTTCCAGCTCTTCTCCTGGCACACCTGCCTGCTGGGGATCCTAAGCTGCCTGGTCATGATGTTCGTCATTAACCCCGTGTACTCCTCAGGCAGCATCGTCCTCCTGCTACTGCTGCTGCTTTTCCTGCACTACAGATCGCCCACCAGCAGCTGGGGCTACATTAGCCAGGCTCTCATTTTCCATCAGGTATCTGGACACGGCAGACACACACGTTGACAGCATCCAAGAATTTGTCGACAACGCTGTTTTTTCCCTGTGGTTTAGGTGCGCAAGTATCTGTTGATGCTGGACGTGAGGAAAGACCATGTGAAGTTCTGGAGGCCGCAGGTGCTGCTAATGGTGGCCAACCCTCGCTCCTCCTGTCAGCTCATCCTGTTTGTCAACCAGCTGAAGAAGGGAGGACTGTTCGTGTTGGGTCACGTGCAGCTGGGAGATCTGGGTAATGAATGCTCAGTGGGTGGTCTGTTGTGGCCATCTGCAGCCAACAGTATTAAATTAGTCTTATCTCTGAATCATTTTCCTTTGTGGTTTCACCCATCGCTGAACCCTTCTTCTGTTTTATTCAAAATAGCAAGCTTGAGTTCCTGCCTTCTTCTACTGCAGACAACATGAAATCAGTGTCATGCTGTGGTTCCTTTTTGATTTGTGCAAATTTGAGATCAGATTTGGACGAGAAAGTGGGGATCAGGGGAACATTTACTGTTTGGTATAACTGATAATATTCTTTTACTAGTATATACTGTAGGTTTAGTGGGCAGATTAAACTCACCTTTTGTCTCTGTCACATGCCTGGAAGCTTATGACTAAAGTCATGTGTTACGTGATCTCTTGTATCATTCGGGTCTGACACATGAATTACAAAATAATGAAACAAGTTCATTATTATAACATTCATAAAGAATATCGCATGAATTACAAAATAATGAAACAAGTTCATTATTATAACATTCATAAAGAATATCGCATGAATTACAAAATAATGAAACAAGTTCATTATTATAACATTCATAAAGAATATCGCATGAATTACAAAATAATGAAGCAGGTTGCACATGACTGAGGTTATATAACAGCTCTGGCTGACCTACCTGAGGTGACGGTACCATCATGAGGAGTTCCCCTGTGTGCTTTCACTTTCCTTCTGCCGGCGCTTCTGCATTATTAATCAGAGGTTTTCTGTGTACCGGTGTAGCCTCACATATGTCAACCAGCCGTCCTGTCTTAGTGTTTATTTGACTGAAAGGCACACGTCCTTTTCAGACTGTAAGTAAAAATAAAAAAATACTATATATATATTTTTTTTAGTGATGCACCTTAAGGACTACAAAGCAACTTGTGCATATATTCTTTCATTAATGTTTGTCAATCTGCCCCCTGGTGGCCGTAGGATACATTGCAATGCATGTAAAGTGTGAAACTGGGGGATTTCCTAAAAAGTAATTACATGTACCGTTACTGTTTCACTTACTGTTCCTGAGTGCAGTTTTTAGATACTCGAATGCATCTAAGTAAAAAAAAAAACAAAAACAAAAAACAAACAAATGAACTAAAAACAAGAACAGGTGGAAATAAAATAGGATCAAATTAAAACCTGAATTGCCCAAAGGTTCAAATTGAGTCAAGCTTCTTCAGATCTTTCACTTGTAACTTAATATTTTTGAATGGCAGTATTTACGTTAATAAAGGACTTAAGTATTTCTTTCACCACTATTTACTTGCGGTTCTGTTTATCAGTGACATTGCATTTATGAATATCTATTTTATTTGTTTCTATCTATGCAGTAAATTAATTTCTGCCTTCTGTGTTGCAGACTCCCTGCCATCAGACCCAGTCCAGCAGCAGTACAACTTCTGGCTGAGCCTAGTTGATAAACTGGGGGTGAAGGCCTTTGTAGACCTGACGCTCTCCCCCTCAGTCAGACAGGGAACTCAGCATCTGCTGCGCATCACAGGGCTGGGTAAGCTCCCTTCACTACGCTGTACTCACATTCAGTGCAGGTTATGACATGACTTTATCTGTACTTGGAGAATCTTGTACATTTTCTGTGTCTCTCTACAAGGTGGCATGAAGCCCAACACACTGATTTTGGGCTTCTACGACAGCTGCACTCCTGAGGACTTCTTCCTACAAGACACTGCCTTCTGTGACGCCTCAGTGGGACGAGGCAGCGAGGGTGACTATAACTTTGGGGTTGACCTGCCTTCATTGCAGGCCCACTTCCCTCCTGTGCGACATGTGGAGAGTCCACGCTGGCTCTCGCCAGAGGAGTACGTTGGCATTGTTTCTGACGCCATTAAGATGAACAAGAACGTGTGCCTTGGCAGATATTTCTTCCAGTTAGAGGGCGAAGACAAAGAGAGCAAGGTGGACGGCTCGGAGCGGACTATAGACGTGTGGCCTCTGAACCTGCTGCAGCCCGGCAGCCGTGACTACCAGGACGTGTGCAGCCTCTTCCTGCTGCAGATGGCCTGTGTGCTCAACATGTCCAGCAAATGGCGACATGCAAGAATGAGAATCTTCCTGAACGTGGAGACGCAGTCCAACGACCAGGGCTGGGTGGTGAATGAGGAGACATTTCGAGAGCTGCTGAGGAATCTGAGGATCCGTGCGTCCATAAAGATTGTACCGTGGGACTCTGTGGTGCAGCACCACTCCCAGCCGGGCGGGGACAACTCTGCAGAGACCACACAAGCTCTGTCCGAGCACTTTTTGACCGCAGTGAACTGCATGTTGATGGAGCACAGCTCGCAGGCTGCTGTGCGCTTCCTGTATTTACCTCGTCCTCCTGCTCATCACAGCCAGTCGCAGCAGTACTTGGCTCAGCTGGAAGCAGTGACCAGCGGTTTAGGACCAACGCTGCTGATTCATGGTGTCACCCCAGTCACTTACACTGACCTCTGAGCATGTGTAGTCTTGAATTTACTTAAATCTAAGTAGAAACAAAAGGAACACGTAGTTTCATGAAGAGTGAATGCCTCGGTACAGTATTTACTACTGCAGCCTGTTACTTTACTGAAGCCTAGAGAAGGACCACAGTCGAGTGCCACTTGAAGCTTTTGCATTCAAATAGGATATCTTCCTATTTTTAAATACTTGAACTGACGTTGGGATTGAGTAAAGCAAATACCAATGTTTGTGGTCATGATTTATGTTGATGTAACCTCCTGTTTGATTTAGCTTTAGCTCTGCCTTTCATGGAAACACACAGATATGAAAATGTGTCAAAAACTCGTCAGAACTAAACCACAGTTTTTTTTTTAACAATATTAGACATTAATGGCATCGAATATTTAAATGTCTACATATAATTTGAGGCTTGAAATCATGTGGAATTTGTGGTATTTGTGCTAGAAATGACCACAGTACAAAAGCAATTTTTACTGCTCCATGTTCTAAAGGGAGTTGTGTTCATGCAGAATAGCTCGTTTGTATTTTTTGCTGCCTGCTTTTTTATTTTATTTTCACATTTAGGCTGGTTGCCGGACCAAGTGATCCAAAGAGTTTTTGTTCTTGACCTGAATTGAATTCAAATTTTCCTTTTCAATGCACTTATCCAAACACGTTTTCTCTTGACTATTGAAAGTGTCTTTTTGCTCTTTACAAAGGGAAGTGTTTTGTACATCTGACCTCAGAATGATGAACAGCATTTGTTACTATTTGTGTTAAATACTTTGGATTTTTGTCCTTCACAGTGCAGACTGTTGAAATATATTTAAAAGGGTTATTATTATATTCATGGTTACTTTGGATGTACTAAAAATTATAATGACCATTATAATCCGGTCTCAGTCAGAACCAGAATGATGATTCAAAGCAGGCCAAGACTGACACCAGAGCAAGTTTTAGTGTCACATTTCTTCACAATAACTCACCATAGTTGCAAGCTATGTATTGACATGTCACTGTACTTTAGTTTTCTGCTGCTGAAAAGGGATCTTGCACATGTTTGGGTTAATGCTTAAAGAGGGAACTTTAAAGCAGTGCTTCCCGACCTTTTCTATCTGATATAACCCTGCAAGAAACTCAAGAAACCCTTCATCAGTACCTCGAATGTTCAAATGTGTTCATTAAAACTTGTTAAAAATTGGATCTTTGTTACCAGTTAAGTAGATAAAGTTTTGTTTTTCATGAAATTGAACTATTAGTGTTTAGGTAAGCCTGGTTTGAACTATTTATTCATTAACTTAAGCTGTATATTTTTCACATCTTCATTTCAACCTTCAAGAGTTTCATCCACACTGTTAGCTTAACAATTTAAACAGCCTGCCATGCTACCAGCTAATGATTTCCAACCATTTATTCCTGCTATTTCCTTTTATTTATCCATTATGTTTACCTTAGAGTGTCAAGTATTTATCCTTATTGTTAGCTTTAAAAAAAGGATTGTTTATCTATACTTTTTGCTAAAAAAAAAAAACAAACAAACTTTTAGGTAGCTGTTTGAATAATTTATCCACTTTGGCCAAACAGTTGAAACTGTTAGCTCAAGGTTGACAACGAGCTGAAACAGCTAAAGTTATGGACGAACAATTGGAAATTGTGTGTGAACAGTATAAATAAACAGTTGAAATTGTTAATTCACACATATAACTAACAATTTTATGTACTGGCCGTACTATTAACTAATTATTTGTCAGTTTTAGCTAGTTATTTCAACTTTTTGGACCATTATAGTTAGCTAACAATTTAATTTGTTAATCCATACAGTTATCAAAAAAATACAATCTGTTCGTCATATCCTATAGCAAAAAAAACCTCAGCTTCTTGGTATACTATTAGCCAACAATGTCAACTGTTAGCCACAATTGTAGGTAGCTATTTCAACCATTTTGTCCTCGATTTGAATCAGTTCTGCATATTTTTTCTGTCTCTGCTGTTTATCCATTACCTTTGGCTAACTGTTAACTATTGTACTCCAGGCTGTTCACGTCCACTAATTCTTTAATTAACTTGTAATTCCTGCTGTTACCCATGAGTTGAGCTAATCTTTTTACAGAATTACCCCCTGGGGCAGTCGTGCCTGTGGTTGGGAGTCACTGCTTTAAAGTACTTTAATGCAGATGTTCATAGAAAAGTAAATATAATGTACGCCACATGCACTGTGTGTTGTTATGTTTGGAATTGTAACGAATTATTTAAAAGCTGCATAAAGGCAACACAAACTGACTGTGTCTGTACGTCTGCCATTATCTGGATTAATAATAACTGAGGCAGTCACAAGAGAAACCGGGGTTCTATATGACCACTCAGTCAAGAAGCCTATTGAACATGTCGAATAAATGAAAGCTTAAGGCGTGAACTTAACAGTACTTATATGTATTTTATAGCAGTTTATGATAATACAGTACAGTGAAGATTCACATTTATGTCAGTCATCTTCAAAAACAAATTCACATAACGTCTGTACAGATGCAGGCACACGACTACTCCTCCTTGTCATTGAGCCTCTTGTTGTCCTTACATAGTCTACCATCATGTTTCCCCAGTTTGGGAATTTTTTTCAGTTTTCTGATGAGAAATGTCGACATACGAAACCAGTCCGGCATGAGCACCAAGAACGCCGCGCTCTGTGGGAAGGTAAGAAAGAGAAGCGTTCAGTTACTGCAGCTCATGATTTGGAAGTGATGATGGATTGTCGTTCCTCTGACCTGCAGGGCGTGAGACAGGCAGCCGCTGGTGTAGCTGGAGTGACCCACGGTGTTCAGCGCTTCACGGGCAAAGTCTGAAGCGCTCTTCACCAAACAGTTGACCTCCATGTTGTTGGTCATGTTGGTGGACACAAAGAAGGGGGCCACACACTGGAGGAACATCAACGGAGGTTAGACAGGTGGAAGGTCCCCTTCACAGTCGTCCTCAAATGTATTCATCCCCTCCCATTAAAGAAAAGGCGCAATAGTCACTCAAATAGGTAGAAACTGAAAAAAGTAATAATAAATAAAAATTTGCTAAATTACAATTTAGTGAAATAAGACATTGCTTTTGGATTGTGGTTGAAAAGAATAATTTAAAAAACTAAGTTGTTAAATTAGAGCACTTTGCTGATGAGCAGTGGACCAGAATTCAAATACCTGTCAACAGGTGCAGAAGTCTGATAAAGAGTTACAGAAAACACTTAATTGCAGTGATTGGCTCAAAGGGTTGTTCAACAAAATGTTAGGTTACAGGTCCCATCATGCTTGTTTGGTTGTTGTTGTTGTTTTTAAAAAAAAAAATATATATATGTATTTCTGTTGAACCACAATTCAAAAGCAATGTCATGATTTTCCTACAACTTCTATTTATTATTACTTTTGTCAATTTCAACTTATGTCAGTAACAGCTGTTTTTCCTTTAACGGGAAGGTATGAATACATTTGAGGATGACTGTACATAATGTAACATGCATCAAACAGAAACCCCTCCGAGGCTGAAAAATAATCAAGTCAAGTGGAGCAACGTCCGACGTAAAGTGTGTTTGATGCAGGTTAATGTGCAGCAAATTAAAAAAATAAAAAATAGGAAAAAAAGTCTGAATCAGGGGGAAAACAAAAGGTCAGTTTTATGAGCTGCATGTTTGTTCAACCACTGAAAAAAAACAAAAGATCCTCAAATGTAGCTTGAAGAAGTTCCTAATTTAGAACAGTAATAAAAACTTCAAGTGAAAACAAATGTATATGTAAGTAAGTGAATAAAAATAGAATGATAGTTGGACTGATTAGGGTTCATCTTAGCCTCATGACATCTATCATTATATGTGATTTTCTTTAGAAATCATGTGTCTGTTTGTGCCTAAAAATGAACAATTATACGTAAGAGTTTGGTCAAAATAAATCTGTAAACCTTTTCATGTAAATAATCTATAATCTGTCTTGAGCTCCACTGCATCTCAGAGGCACATATTATATTTTAAACACCTTACAGCTTTAGTTAGTCTTCAAATTGCAATTTTCCATACATTAATCCCCAATTTGGTGATTTTGAATGTTTAAACTGAATGTTCCTTAATGTGCAGAGAACATTCTCCACATCTAAAGATAAATAAACTGTTGCTGTAGGTTAAACTATCCAACAGTATGTAAAATAATAAAAGGTAGCCCCACTGTAAAAAAGTAAAATGCAACATATACATTAATGCAACACTAACATTAATCAAGCAATGTTATATAAAATGTTGCTTGATTAATAATATATCTAATTCTATATATAATTTAAAACAGGGACCATTTTACTGCACAATGACTAATTTTATGAGCGTGTTTTTGTCTATTATAGATTATTTACACTTTTACTTGTGTAAGATTTTGAATTCAGTACTTTTACTTGTAACAGAGTATTTTCACAGTGTTGTATTATTAATTTTACTTTAGTTAAGGATCTGAATGCATCCTCCAGCGCTGTCAGATTGTCATGATCGCCTTTGTTTACCCTCACCTCTGCGTTCGTAGTGGGTTTTCTAGTATTTCTCATATCCAATCAAACCTACACTTTCATTACTATTTATCCCTATTTGAATTACTCTGTACTGTTTCTTATTTCTGTCTATTTGTAAATTAGAACTAGACAGATAGTTTGTTTTGGAAATAGGTTGAAATGATATTTTTGCAGTCTTGGGTTTCTCTAAATGCGTTGTACGCCTTTAATAGTGAATGAGCCTCTGCACAGTGTAAGAGGGAGTGGTGACAACAACACGTATCCACTTCAACATATATTTAAACAACAAAACAAGCCGAGTTCTTGGGAATCATTTGACTATTTCCGATAAATGAGCTACAGCTTGAGTACGTGTAACGTGTCAGAACTTGGTCTGTGTCGCATACTTTACCTGCACTGAAATTCCCTTTGACTTGTACTCAGCATGCAGACTCTGAGAGAAATATGTTACGAAAATCTGAAATAAAGGAGACAAATCACAAATGAAGTAGATCAGCAGTTAAGCGCTGTTTGCTAATAAATGTGATCTGGTCAGGATGTGTATGAAAACCAACAGAATGAGAGCGTACCTTGGTGGCTGAATAAAGAGCCAACAGAGGCTGTGGACGGACGCCCACTGCTGATGAGATATTGATGATCAGCCCTGTTCCTCTGGGGACGAGACAAACACTCAGAAATTCATGCCGTACTCTTATGTCACAACCACGATGAACCATTGAATGCGTCTCAGTACCTTTTAATCATTTCTGGAAGAACCAGTCTGGTCATCTGATATAGAACAGAAAATATAAGATCAATGCGGGTGTCTGAACATTCGAAACAGTCGAGCACTAAATACTCACACAGATCTCTTACCTGAGGGACGGACAGCACATTGCAGTTAATAAGCTGATTGGTTTTCTGCTCAGAATACAAACAGAATGGAAACTCCATGTTAGGACAAATATGACCTGAAAATGCTTTTGTTTTCAGAAATAGGCCTTTAAAACTCACCTCCTCAGCATCTGGTGGTTCCATAAAACAGGCAAAGTTTTCAGTATAGATCATTCCCACGTTGTTAACTGGGTTATAAAGAGACAAACAAGAACGTTTACTCTGGTATCAGCCTTTAATTCATGACACTATTCTCTTCTTCTTACACTATTTGGCCTTTAATTGTCAGCAGAGCGTCTGCATTTTGGTCTGGAAAGGTTCAGGAGGAATTCACAGGATAAAAAAGTAGCAGGTTTCCTGCACAATGACGTTTTTGTTTTTTTAATTATTACCTTTTTATTCTCACGGTGATATTTTATTATTTGCTGCACAGTAAAAATTAAAGTTTGTCAGTTTAGTTTGCTGATCAGTTTTACCTGTAAGGTGTGCATCAAAAATGTGTATTATTATAAATGTTAATTCTTTTTTTTTCTCCACAGTGTTCCGTAAATGTTAATAATTTAATAATAATGTATAATAATAATAAAAGTAGAATAATATTTTTGCAATTTAAAAAATGTAATAAGCTAAATTATCACTATTTTATGGATATTTGCTATTATTTGAAAGAGAGAAATGTATATTAAGAGTTTATTTGTTTTGTTAAATTATACATTTTTTAAAAAGTATTTACATGTAGACTGTAAAAAACAAACAAACAAAAACTGGACATAGCATCCACATCACCAATCTGTATTTTTATAAACAGTAATTTATTATTTTGCAGTGTTTGACTGTACAATATCACTGTTTTTAGAATCTGCTGTTTGTCTTGAACATCACCGTATTCCAACATTTTTTAATGTATTATATGTATTCCTTTTTTTTTAATGGGATGATTAATTTGTATTTTTTGTACAGTTTCGGGGTGTGAGCACCTTCAGGCGTTGTGTTTTTGAAACCCTGATATAGTGCCGTAAATTTAATTGAGTGTATAAAATCTTGAAAGAGACGGACGCCTGTTAGCTGGTGCAGAGGTTTGTAATGTGTTCATGTGGGTTTGAAAATGATGCTACCTCGCGGCAAAATAGTTTCAGCCGTCTGTTGTTTTTAGGTCAAGTAAAGACTGCCATTGATATCACTGTTATTAGCGTGTTCAGGAATGTAGTCAGTATAAGTCTCATTGTTTTCATTGTTATATAATTTAGAGTTCCAGCATTGTGTCCCTAATGCTAGGTGTGGTTGGGTGTTCACTCACCTCTGATGAGGATACAGTTTGTACTAGCACACCTAATTAGCGTGGCATTTTATTCGAAAGGTATTTTCATTGATGTCACGTTTCCCAGGGCAGTTCCTCGATGTCTTACAGCTTCTGTTCTCTTTCCCTTTTATCTCATTTCAGGCAAATGTTTTAAGAAATAGCCAGTTGTGGCAGATAAACTCTGGCTGACTTAAGGCCTCGCCACTGACTCACTTCACGACACACTAAAGATAAAATCAGTGTGAGGGAACTGAAATAACCTCACAAGCAGTCAATTAGTAAGGACATGATCTCTTTAGGGTCAAACTGTGGCGCTGCTGATAGATCAGACTAGAGTTTGACGTGGGAAATATGTATGTTATTGTCTTGCTGAGAGTTACAGCACTTGGCTCAACAGAGAAGTCTGTTCCAGAGTCTCCGCTGGTTGCCAGTTTTGGTGTTTCATCCTCATTTTTGTGCAGACCGAATGTGACATAATGTGTGCATTAGTGAACTTTAGAGGTGCTGGTAGGCTGATTTTTTTTACATTTTGACAGCCATGCTTGTTGTTTCAAAGTGTTTCCTCACTTTTCTGTCTAATCTACACATTGTTGATTGGTCAAGTGTCCAGTTGCTTTTCTTTACCGTGCAGATTTGGTCCAAACTTTCTTATTTCATAGATCATCTGAATAACTTCCTCTGCTCTATAAGACTTCCAATTACCCAGAATTCCAATCTCCAGGCCTTCTAGTTCCTTGGCTATGACGGGGTAGATCCTGTGGCCTTCTGTGAAGTCCACCTGGATGGTGCGAGTCTTTCGTCCGTACTCATTCTCTGAATGAGACAACAAATATTTCAGATCGTTTATGCTAATTAGATGCACGCTGACAAGACAAACATGTTTACCGTAGCGAGAGCAAACATTAGAACGGCAGCATTATTTTCAATTGACTCACCTATCTCTTTGGCAACCGTCCGAAGCTTATCTTCAGATCTGCTTACCAAAATAACATCGAGACCTCTTTGTGCCAGCTGGAAATAGAATGCAGACGGACAGGTTTTGTCGTAACTTACAACAAGACTCTACAATAGTGCAAATGAGTGACTGCATCAAACAACTTAATGCAAAGAAATTTTGTTCTTAGTTTGAATTAGGACCTAAAAAAAAAACAGCTAAAAGACCTTTTTGTAGAAGGAAGCAGGACGCTCACCTCACAGGCATAAGCTTTACCAATTCCAGACGTGGCACCAGTGACAACTGCACAAAGGAGAAAGTGTAGAGATGTTAGATAGTGGCTCTAGGTATAACTTTCCATTAGCTTGTATGAATGAGCTGGTCTTGTCATTGTTATAAATCTGCTGTTTAAATTTTTAGTTTAACTTCTGCAAAAGACAAGCATATTATGAGGATTCTGCTCATTCACAGGTTCCAAACCTTCCATTTTGCAGAAACCTCTCATACAATCATAAATGTCAAACTGATATTAATGCTAATCCTCTCCCATTCAAGCACGCGGTTGGGACGACAGGCTGAGTTCAGGTCCAAAAGTTAACTGCTCAGGTGTCATATTTGTAAAGTTAATGGATGCAAAGTGGAGAAGACAAGTGGACTGAAATATGTGTTGCTAATAAAATCCGATCAAAAAGGAAGTTAAACACCCTATCAGGCCCATTATTGATGAGAGGAGGGCCGGGGAGTGCAGCTACTGATGGAAGTAATATGCAAATATTTAACCCCATAAAATCGAGGCAGGACTGCATGTTCTCATTTGCAAATGGTTTGACACACACACACACACACACACACACACCCATTTAATGAGCGAACATTAGTGTACATTAGCAATAATTTCACAGTGTGTCAGCAACCAAACCAACACTCCTCACATTACACGTGACACAGTTAACGTTTTGTTTTGAATAAATGTAACCTGTAAGAAAGCATAAAGTATATTTGGCCTAACTTTACCTGCCCATCGTCCATATGTCCTTAAATCCACTTTCCAGTGCTCTGATAAAACAAACTCTCTGAATCCACACCAACACCCCCAGGCGAGTTTCAGCAGGTAGAAAACCAGAGTAAATCCACCAACAATGGCCAGCATGTCAGTGAGTGACATCCTGCAGCAGAGCTCCTAAACAGGACAGAATTTCTTTGGAGCACACCACACAGATGTTTAAAAGGTAGTTAATCCTAATTTTATAGCAGAGGAAATGAAAGCATTTTCATGTGTTATATGTACCTCCCACATCGCTCCACCCCTCAGTGTGTGCTGCTGTCATGTGGGTGAGCTGAGCTGATAATGAACACCCCTGGACCCAGACAATGTCACTAAAGCTGAAAAACTATCTGCAGATTGAACTGATGGGTCAGTTTGATGTTTTTAAACCACCAAGGATGATAAAATCTCATGTCCTGTTTTCTGATTTTGTTTGGAAGTCTAAACACATCGATGAGAGTGTTGAAATACTTGTGAATGATCAGACTTGTTGGTTGTTTCACAATAAGATGTTGCTTAAATCATCAAATTGTAATTGAATGCAAACTTTGAAAATGCAATTACTGATACACGCCTCTGACAGAGACATGTTCTTGGGGTTGGATGACCAGAGGAAACACATGGAGCATGAGAAGTGGCATCAATATTTATGAAGGGAAACTGAACAAACAAGAGTTTGCTGATGACCTATAGTCATGAGCATAGTCAGTGATTGTGGGGTTGGAAGGGGAGGACTTCTTCTCATGACAGAAAAAACGTTTGAGAAACCACGGACATGAGCTGACTTTCTAGGAAAACTGACTCGATGTGTAAAAGTGGCAAAGTGCCCCTTCAACACAAGTTGGGATGTAACACAAGAACACATTTAGTCGTCATTGTGCGGACAGCGCGCGCGTCTAATCACAAAAGCCCAAAACAAAAGCACTGGAGATAAAAGGAATAACGCACATGTGAGCGTGACACAGTTTTTGTGACAGCTGATAAGTCTCTGCTGCGGCTACAATCTGTCAGGTTTACATGTCAGCAGAAACAGTCCTTCCTTCCCATTCATGTAAAATAACGTCTGTACATTGATAAACTTGAGAAATGCTCTTGATAAAATGTCTGAGCGATAATGTTTGTGATAGCCCACAAACGGTATGCAGACATGTAAAGTCACGTGAGCCAAGTGATGGTTAAAAAAAAGCTGCTTATCTTCGAAAAGATAAAGTTTTCTCTGACAAACCATCCAGTTATTGCAGTTTAGTGGAAACTTAATTAGAGCTGTATTCACAGACTCTGTCCTACATCTGCAGTTAAACCTCTATGGACTTTACTTTTTTATTCCAACACCAGTCAGACGTTACAATGCTGCATTATGTCTGTGAAGATTCTCAGTCATCCAGGTGATGGTTGTTCTAGTAGATGAATCGTAGCAACTGGACTTGCTTGAGTTCATTGAAGACATTCCACCTCTCATCCAAAAAGCTTCATCAGTTCTGACTGACTAGTTGGAAGTTCCAGATACTTATATCCATAAGGAGCCATTAACACCTGAGTTTCGGTTTCAATTGGGGGGTTTGTTGCAACCCCATTTGAAACCAAATCTCAGGTGTTAATGGATCCTTATGAATATAAGTATCTGGAACTTCCAATTAGTCAGTCAGAACTGATGAAGCTTCTTGGATGAGAGGTGGAATGTCTTCAAGGAACTCAAGCAAGTCCAGTTGCTACGATTCATCTACCAGAATGCTGCATAATAAACTTTTTCCTCCTACACACACATTCCACTCATGTGCAATAACTGTCACTACCTCTTCCCTGTGTATATAGTCTTCTTAAAAAATGATCTTCTATATATAATGTTTTCTCTTGCAAATTTTGCACTGTGTGTTTCTAAATTATTCTTGCACTGACTTTACACTTTTTCTTTTGGGAGCTGTTGTAACGGTGAACTTTCCACACTGTGGGATCAACAAAGTTTATCTTATGTTATCTAATCTTCTCTAAAATGTTCTTTTTCAGACCTTGAACGCTGCATTGTGGGAATAAGATGGTAACTTTTCCCATGTATCTGGTCTGACCATCTGGTGTAGGCTTCACCACGAATAAACATGAATGGTGCAATTATAGTTGTAATAAGGGTGTTTGTGGTCTAACAGTCTTTATTTCTGACAAACTAATAGGATCTTAATGTGTACATACAGGTTAGATTATTCATGATTGCCATGCATGTCAAGCTGGATTTAAGTGGTAAAAATGTATATATATCTTTTTTATTAGTGAGCCCTGTATCACAACAAAACTCTGTAGTGATATATTGTGCCATCTAGTATGGTCAAATCATATCAAAATATGACTGTACTCGATGGCACAACATTTTAAACTTGTGGTGTAATGCTATACAAGTATTTATGACAAACATGATATTTAAAAAACAAACAAACAAACAAACAAACAAACTAATAACTGGTGGTTATGGCTACAGACTCTCTCCACCTCCCTGTAGTCGTATATGTAGTATAATTTCTTTGCCAAAATAGACAAAACTAAATAAAGGTAATGAAAGCTGTCACCAGGAGCAGCCTCACAAATCATCTTTGTACTGACTGAAAATTATTTCAACTGCTGAGACTGTAAGTTGCCATTAGCAAATGAAGAAGAAACTCTTTAACCCTTTATGGAGCAAGTGACCATATCTGGTAACTTCCTTGAACGTTCAATATGTCCACCCTGTGCCTCTCCTTGAGGAAATGAAAATAGTCATAAATACTCTGGAAGCTCATACAGCCCTTTAAAGAATGAGGAAAAGGGAAGTCAGATTCTTTAGAATACTATCCACACTTACAACCGTCCAATGGTTAACCTATGATGGTTCATGCTGTTGCTTGGAGGCAACAGTTGTTTTGGGATGTTTGACTTATTCATCTTTTTCCCCCCCAAATTGCTTAATTTCCTTCAGTTTTCTGAAGAAATCTAACAAATACAGCTGCTTACTGGAGAAATTAAAAACAAAATAAAATAAAAAGCAGCCTGCCCAGTCAGTGTTTAGCCCTTTATGGGGCAAGTGACCATATTTGGTAACTTCCTTAGACGTTCAATATGTCCACCCTGTGCCTCTCCTTGAGGTTGAACAACTATGTGCTTTGATTTAGTTTTTATGTTAGTGCCAATATCACTACCTTATGAAAAATGTCCCTAAACAAATGTTCCAGGCACTTTATAAATGCTTTCATTGAACTCCATCCATCCATTATCTGTACACCGCTTAATCCTCACTAGGGTCATGGGGGGCTGGAGTCTATCCCAGCTGACTTAAGGTGAAGGCAGGGGACACCCTGGACAGGTCACCAGTCTATCACAGGGCCACACTTAGAGACAGACAACCA